CTTAAGTTTTGGTCCGAGTGTCAAAGCCATTGCCATAACAGCTTTGAGTCACAAGACATATTTGTCCTTGATCTTGGTACCTGCTGTGGCTCATTTCCCAATGTTAGCTTCCAGATATTGCTCAAACCTCACTCCATGTAATTTTCTTTCTGACTTCAGCATATATTCAGCATGTGCCTGCATATGTATATGCATATAATACATTCAAAGATGAGAAGTGAAATTACAGATAAAATGGTGGGAAGGTGGTAGGCAAGATGGCTTAGCTCTCTGCATCTCAGCCTCCTCTCCTCTTTTCTCCTCTCTTTTCCCTTCTTCATCCCCTCTCCTCCCCTAATTTTTCTGGTGGGCATTTGAGAGATGTGGTGGGGTGTGGGTCAAGGCTTGGAATATGAAAGAGGTAAATCTTGAGAGTCAGATAGTAGTGATGAAATGTTTTATTCAAAATTCCCCGAGTCTAACTCTGAGCTAGAAAAGTACATGGCTGCAAGTTAGAGAAATGACAGAAAGGCAGCAAAGATAGGAATGACATTAGCGAAGTGTGGCCCTACCAAATGACTGTGGATGCTTGGCCACATATCCCTTAGAATGAGGATGGCCACATGTGGATCTGCTTATCCACAGTGCTAAATGTATATCCCAGAGAGGTGTGTGTGTGTGTGTGTGTGTGTGTGTGTATATCTTTGGATAAGTATCAACAGTCTATCACCTGGAATATAAAAGCTATTTGTGTTAAAGTACGTGACCATGATGGCCCCTTCCAGGCACCTGTGATTTTTGATTCTTTTCCATCTGTAGTCAGCATTGTAGTTGATTATCTTGTAGTCCTTTTATGACTCTGAGAGAGTTCAAAGTCATTTAACACTGTTTCTTTGAAATTGGTAAAATGACTGAAAACTCATAGATCCATTTTTGTATAATGAAAATGTATATGATTGAAATATTATTTATTAAATAGCATTTTTTAATATTAAATAGCATTTTTTGGAAATTTTTAGTACAACCTAAATTGTACAAAATCGTTTCAAAAATCCATGATGTTAAAATTATAATTTTTTTGGATGGTAAATTAAAAAAAACAATAAGCCTTAGATTATTTTTCTCTTAATTCTCCCCTACAACCTAAATTGTACAAAATCGTTTCAAAAATCCATGATGTTTAAATTATAATTTTTTGGATGGTAAATTAAAAAAAACAATAAGCCTTAGATTATTTTTCTCTTAATTCTCCCAATTTCTCTCTTAACTCCCAGAATTTGCTGTAATGTAAGTAACCAGACAGGCTTTAAAATGGTGGAAAGATTTTTTTCCGTAAAATTGAAAATAAAAGTTGAATAGAAGTCACTCTTAGGTCATAGTTTTTAAAATTATGTTCTACATGTTTAAGAATTACTAATTTTCCATTCACTGTCTTTCCTTTCACCTCTTTCTGACTTTCTTATTTGTCCTACAGTTTTTATCATTCTAAATAATTTTTTCATAAAATAGAAGTCAACCTATTAGTCAGCTTTTTAGAAATTTAAATTATTTCCTGCATCAATCTTAACTTTTAGCAATTGTTTCAAATTTGAAAATATTTTTAAATATTGTTGATCTAGACCACATTTATTTACACATTTTTATCTAGGAAATAATGATGGTTTTGTGTTCCCTGTGGAATTAGGAAGTTTATAGAGAGCTAAAGGTGATAATTGGATCACCAAGAAATTGCTCTATCAATGGTTTTTTTCCTTATACTATAATTCTTAAGATGACATAGTGAAGAAAGGTTAAATTGGTTTTTATCTCAAAATATTCTGTTTATTATCAAATATTTCTGGGTGAAATATAGTACTTGATAGCTAAATAAGGCAATAGAAAACTGACTGTCAGTGCTACTGATTTATTACATACTCAAGTTACAGATCACAGTTTAATTTTATAAAGGCACATACATGGCATATACATACTCCTCTTTTTTCTCTCTCTATTTCCCCTTCCTATACATGTGTATATCATAGTTGTTTGAACAAAAGTTCTCTCACTCCACTTATATAAGTTGAGGGACTTAAAACTAACATAGGCTTTTATTTTGCTCCAGAAAGTCTCTGAAATTGCACCAGAATTAGGACAGCCTAGGTTAGAATTATTTAGAAGCTTAGAATAGAATGTGTATGCCTCTAAAAATGCATTTGGTAGGTATATGTAGGTTTCTGGAACATCAAAAGTATTTGGCTAAGCACTGATAAGGTAACTTAGACATCAAACATTCCAGCATTCCAAGCCCTGCCACACTAAGACCATGCTTTTCGCTTTTGACCTGGGCCAAAGCCTTATCTCTAATTCAAGTGATTAATAGGCTTCCTGGCATATTTCAAAGTCAAAGAAGCAAACAAAAATCAGGTTGTTGAGCATGTCGATAGTTGTAATAATCGATGGCCTAACAAAGGATGAAGAGCTGAACGATAAAATTTTGGATATGTTTAGTGTCTCAGCCATTTAAAGAAAGATTAAACTCCATGGTATCCACTAGAAAATAATTTTCAATGCATATATAGGAAATTTTACTTACCTGAAAAATATATGTCTAATCATAAAAAGCATCTTTCAAAGAAATGAAGTTATTACTTTTCCCCTAGTGTCTCATAATAGGAAGACATGGATAGGATATAAAACGTTTTTTGTTTTGGTGGGGGGGGCTACATATAATTTGGAGAATATAGAACTACATTTAAAATCAGAAGGGATATTGCGTCTGAATGGAATAGATCCATGCATATTTAAGAATAAATTACCTATATCTGAATAAACTACTGTGCTAAAAATAAAATATTTCTGATTCCAGGTTGGCATTGTCCTGATAGCCTGCCTGTTTCAAGGCCACTTCTTTCATGTGTTACTGAATCATTAGGGGATATAAAATTTAACAGGTTACTCTAAAGCCTTTAAAATGATGCCCAGTTATAAATAACAAATATATAAATAGGGAGGGAAATTTAGTGTTGGTGTACATATATAATAATTAGAAAAATATATCTTCTTCTGGGACAATTATTTTAAAATAAATGGGAAATTGAATTTTTAAAGAACTGTCATTGTCAACACTGCCATTTAGTGCAGAAAGAGCAGAACTTAGAATAGTTAGTAAAAGGACCCAAATTCTGGTTATTAATTATAGACATCAGAATACCACCTTGTGTTTATATAGCACCTGTTTCTTAGTAGGTGAGAGAACAGTGATACCGGGTTTTTGTTTTTATGTATTTTTGTTTTGCATTTGGCTTTTATTTTGTTATATCAATTAATACTTGTCATACAACTGTGTAGTTGGGAAGATGTTGGTCTCATCCATATTTTTCCAATTTGAGAATAGGTTAAGAAATATAGGTGAAAGGGAGAGCTTTTTCATGTTGTTTGGAAATGCCTAGTTTTTTTCAACACTGGTTGCTAGGACTGCTGTTTTTATTTTTGTATCATCAGGTTTTTTCATGGATTTTTCCTTTTTGTCAGCGATCATTTTCTTTTTTTCATTTTTTCCAACCACCCACAAGGTAGAAAAGGAAAATGGTCTCAATGCTTTCATTATTATTTTTTTTCTGCACAAATAATATTCCTCAGTATCACTTATGCAAAGGAACCTCTCTAATTGACTAATTTTGCTGTTGAGATTCTTTGCAGCAATTGCTGCCATAATAAACCACCACCAATTTGAAACCCTTTGTTCTGTTTTGCCATGAAGGACAACTTACTAAACCACATTTCTCAGTGCTTTCTAACTCATTTACTCTGCATAAAAAGAAAATGTATTTCTTGGAACTCTGCAAGTAAGAATTTTGCCTTCATACTACCATTTCATTGGACAGACCAATATTATAGACCCTCCTTTGGTTATTAAATAAACTTTGCAGAATCTTTTAAAATATATTGAATTCTTCAAAGTCCCATGATCACAGCAGCATGCCCCCCCACCAAATTTTTCTGCATGCAGCTCTAATTACCCAGCCCTTATTTTATCACCATCATTATATAAATTAAACCCCAAAACTTGCTTGTACATGATTATTATATGTAACAGATATGGATAATAAAAGGAAAATGAATAGAAAAAAAGGATATGTAAGTTTTCTTTTATGATTTGCTGATTTTTAATAGTCATATTTAATTTTCTTTTAGAGTCTTAGCATGTGAACAGTTTATTGAATTAAGCTTTAGAGTGATTTATACTAAAACTGCATGCTACTGCCTTATGAAAATTTTACTAAACTATATTTATCAAATACAGATTTTTAAAATTGTCTTTTGATTAAGGAAAGTTCAATTTAGCACAATTTTCACTGTTTTAAAATTCATAAAATAAATATGAGTAGAGAAGCAAACAATTATAATGCAGTTTATTATGACTTTGAAAGCCATTAGCTAACAGCATCTGCCTTTTATTATTATGTGAACTCTTGTGTACATAACATAATTTGATATGACAAAATCTTCACTCTTCTATTCTAGTGTATATCTATTTGTTACGTTTTTAAAGTCCTGGAAAAAATAAATTATTGTATTTTGCTTTTTAACAATTCAATAATTTTGTTCTAAAATTATGAACAACCTTTTTCAACTTTAATAAACTCCATAAGAAATGCCTACTTAGTAGCTTTGTGAGGAAGAAAATCTGGCATGCAATAAGTTATCTTGCAGTGATTTATGTCAAGCAATATCACATGTACACTCAGTTCCACAGTTTATGCTAACAGCCATTGTTGGACCAGGCATTTCTCCAAAGCTCAGGATTTAGGGAATGGTAATTATAGCAAGTTGTATATTATAAATAATGCATGTATGTTCCACATGAGCTATTTGGGATTTCCGCCCATTTGCTAGAGCATAGCTGCATGATGATTTGTTTGGATTTTGTTGTAGATGATTGATAGTGCAGAATGTTGGCAACGATGTAAATTACTGTTGGGCTGCCTTGAAAATTTCAGTACAAGTGGTGATTTCTTCTCTTTTTCTATGTGCTTGTCTAGTCTCGGCAGACACCTGAGGGTGAGTTCCTTCCCCTTGACCAACTTGAACTGGATGTAGGTTTTAGTACAGGGGCAGATCAACTTTTTCTTGTGTCCCCCCTCACAATTTGCCACGTGATCGATGCCAAAAGCCCCTTTTATGACCTATCCCAGCGAAGCATGCAAAGTGAACAGTTCGAGATTGTCGTCATCCTAGAAGGCATTGTGGAAACAACTGGTAAGTAAAAACATAGATATGCCATCAAATTTCTTTACTCCATAATGACATTATATTATATGCACAATACCTGTCATGAATTGGGCTAAATGATTCAGAGTTCACAATAATGAAAGTAATGACTTGCCTCATTTCTTTGTAATATTAAAATGATGCTACTTTGGAAATTAAGGTTTACTGTTTTTTTGGGTATATACATAATATGAACTCAGGAATACTTACTGTAAAAAAAAAAAGGAAACCAAGATGACTCCTTAAAAATGATTATGATGTTCTGTTTTAATTACAAACTTGGATTTCCTATAAACATTTTTCTTTAAAGATTTAAGGTTAAAAACAATCAGGGTAATTAGTGAGCAGACTGAACTCAGAAGGCATGTTCTTGCCTGGGGGATGGTGAATGTGGGTGTCATTGGTAGAGCTTTGATATCTACTATGTGTGACCTCAGTGGAAAATTCCCTGTGTGTGTGTGTGCATGTGTGCTAAAGTAGCATTTTAATTGCAAAGTGGGTCAGTAGATTTCCCCAGCTGAACCTTGACCTTTTTTTTTTTTTTTAAGAGATTTTTCTTCTCTTTCTGTTTCAGTAAATCTATGTGCTGTTTGTTAGTCTGTAAGATGCAGTATATAGCCCTGGTATGCTCCAAGTACTCACAATTTGCTATTCTCTGAGGCGACTTAGATTGGCAGAGATTTTTCTTCTCTTTCTGTTTCAGTAAATCTATGTGCTGTTTGTTAGTCTGTAAGATGCAGTATAGCCCTGGTATGCTCCAAGTACTCACAATTTGCTATTCTCTGAGGCGACTTAGATTGGCAAAGGAAAGAAAGAATAAATATGAATATATTATTTGGGGATTTAATATGGCCCAGTTAGTTTGGGAACCTGCTGGATGCTTGAGATTAATAATGTAGTATCTACATCATTATATATACAATACATTTGTATATGTGTATATGTGTGCATATCCTGAGTTTTACACTTTCTACAAGTAATGAGAAAGGAAGAAATATTTTAGCTCTCAAATTTTTTCTACCAATATCATCTTAATCTTAAAATGCTAATTATTATGTATAAACTATGGCAGTATTGAAATTAATGTTGGCAGTAATATAGATAAATTCAAGCTTTATACCAAGGTAGAAAATCTTTGATTACAGTACAGTAACTCTTGTCCAAGGAGCAGAAGGAGGCAAGCCATTATAGTTTTTGTGTATCTGTCACATAACACCTATCTGAAATTCAGACAATATGTTTAATCTCTATAAACTTCTTTTCCATCTCTTTAAAGCGAGAATGATATAATAACCACCCCATAGCTGCTTTAGTATTACTATTATTTTATTATTATTAGTGCTTCAGTTTTAAAATTAAGATTTTAAGGACAGTGGGAAAAGATTTAATGTGTCAAGGTATGTCTGCAATTTTATTTCTATGTGGTATTTTATGATTTAAATTCCCCGATCAATTTTTCAACTTAAAATTCAAATGACATCATAGAATTTTTAAAATTACCACATATGAGTAAAGAATGAAATCAATTTATAAAGGCTTTTAGTCCAAGAAATCTTTAAATTTGAATTTCTGTATTATGATCTCATTTTTTGAAGTAATAATGTTATTAGAGCTTGAAAAAAACAGATGTTGCCATTTTTGTTGATTTATTTCTTATACTAGATGGTTCTTTCACACACCTGCTTATAGTTTACCAATTACTTGTTATTATTCTACCCACTGATATGAGTGAAGTTTTTGTTTCATTTGACAGCCTTAAAAACCTCTTATTAGATTTGTCTAGCTAGCTATTCATCCATTTTTTCCTTTTTCCCCTAAATACTGTGTGTATTTCTTAAGGGTAAAAGCATTTTCCTGCAAAATCACAGTCTGAAAACAGAATAGTTTCTCAACCTTACTTTGTGTTTCTTGATCTTGAGGTATTTGAAGAATATATGCCAGGAGTTTTGTCGAGTGTCTCCTAATTTGGATATTTCTGAAGTTTCCTTATTCATTAATTCTTTTGATTTTTGACTTCTACATGGGTACCTTAAGGGAATGTTGAAGCAAGGTGCTTTTTAAGTTTACCTGTATTTCAGAGGATCATGGTTAGTAAATAAAGTCCTACATAAGGTCATGAGGAGTTTTATAACATAAATAATTTATAAAGATTATTGATTTTGTTTTAACATTTCTTCCCTTCTGGGTTTTTTTTTTTGTGTGTGTGTGTGTGTGTTTTATAAGTAACTAACAAACAATACTCTCCACAGAAAATGTGAAAACTTAGTTTTTTTTTTTTGTGTGTGTGTGTTTGTGTGTGTGTTTTATAAGTAACTAACAAACAATACTCTCCACAGAAAATGTGAAAACTTAGCTGGAGATTGAATTTCTTATTCAGAGATTGCCTTTTATGGAGAAGAGATTAGAGTCCATTTCTTCTTAATCTCTTAATTAAGCTTGCTTTCTAGATCTATTATAGCAAGACAAACAGCAAACCATTACTTATAATTTATAGAACTTATTTCACGGAAAGTTTTATCTAACATTTTGTTTGCGTATATGCCCTAACTAATTAAACCCCACACTGTTTTAACTTTGTAAAATCTGTCTCTATTTCCATGCCTCTCTGAGCATGATAAAAATAACATAGACATTTTTATGTTCATTTGATTATTTAAAATTTTACTGAGATTTATTTAGATTCATCTTTAAAGGTGCTTTTTACTTTATCCTTCCAATCACAATACATTTTGTTTTCTCGTAATATTTATTGCTTAGAATTAGACAGATATGATCACTTGGGATTGTGCTGAGGCAGGAAGAATACCATCTTTACCTCTCATGTTGTTTGGTACAGTCTGATGAATAAATTTTAACTCAATGTAACTTTCTATCATATTTAGTATTAAAATACCAACTTTTTATCATTTATTCATTCATTCATTAGATAAGTATTTATTGAATGTATGCTGTGTGCTTGGATGTATTTGAGATTCTGGAGATGTAGTGGCAGCCTGGACAGACAGAATCTCTTTCCTCATGGGGGTTATATTCTAATTGGAGAAAGCAGAACACAGAACACAAATAAATAAGCAAAATATTATCAGTTAATAATGTGTCAGGGATTTTAAAAAACAACAACAAGGTAATGGGATAAAGAGTGCATGCAGGCTACTTTGGGTTGATAGTCAGGGAAGGTCTATAAGGAGGTGACACTTAAGTGAGAACTGACAATGCAGAAGGCCGTCCCAGGCATGTCTGGGGGAGGAGCATGGCAGGCCTGTGGAACAGCTGCTGCAAGGGCCCCAGGTTGGGAATGAGCTTGATTTGTTCTGAGAACTAAAAGAGGGTGGAAGTGGTTGGAGCAGAGTGAGCAATGTGGAGAGTGTGGTGGGAAGAAGTCAGAGAGGTGGAGGGGCCACCTCTGCACTACAGATGATTTTATTGCACCAACAAGAAGTGTTAGGATTTCATTAAAAAGCAGAACCTGCATTTATATGACAGAGTAATAATTTAGTAATTTCAAACTATATATATATGACAGAAATCCCCACTTATTTTTCTAGTGGGTTGCATGTCGTGTATTTAAAAATTAGTACTCCTCCTCTCTCCTTTATTTCCTAGCTCTCTACCCTCATCTTCTTTCCTTTTGTAGTTCCCAAGTCCATCATTCCTTTTAACTCCAGGTATGAAACCTCCCCCCAGCTGTGGTCTTGTATTTGCTATTAATTTCCAGGGCATTTTTTTCACTTGGAATCACTATTTTAATTCAGAGTCACCTTGTCCAAATTCAAAGGCATCATCTTACCTTCAAATTACCTCATTTGGAAAGTGTGTTTCTATTAATGAGAGCTATTTTATCACAGTTCCCCACCTTTCCTTAAAAAATCCAACTAATTTGTTAGCTCCACAAATATCTACTGAGCACCTAAAACAGGCTGAACACTATTCTTGACCTTAGAGGACGCATGAGTTAGCGAAACAAAATTTCTGCCCTTATGGATACTTACATTCTTATGTGGGAAACAGACAATAAACAGATGAAGTACATCATTTAGAATGTTAGAAAGTAATAAGTTCTATGGAAAAAGATAAAGGGCAAGAGGGACTGGGAGTGGACAGAAGCCAAGGACGGCTGCAATGAGAAGGTGACAGCTGAGACAAAACTCAGGACCTTGAGCAAAGCAAATAACCAGGAGGTGGGCATGCCAGGCAGAGGTGTCAGCAGTTGCAACTGCTTCAAGGAGGGCAGGGTGCCTGGCTGCTACTCCCCCTTATGTCTTTCAATTCAACCCTTTTTCTTTGAGCCCACATAATGATACTTCTAAATCACAGTAGTCATCTCAGAAATGGATTTAGTACCTGCAGGATCTCTGCTAGATGCAAATTGCACACAATTGTCCGGTCTGTTTGCTTACAACACTGCTTTCACGATATACTTGTGCTCAAAAGTCCCTAATGGCTGCCATAGGAAATTTCATGCATTTCTTCCTGGGAAAATTAGGCTGCTCTTCTTCCTGTGATGCTCATACACTGTTGCTCACTCTTGCCTCCCATATCTACGGTCATGTGACTTTTCAGTGCCTGGAATAGCATTTCTGTCTTCTCTCACACAGAGCAAGAGTGGCCTTATTTGTTGAAACTTTCCTGGACACGTTAGTCCATAGTTTTTCTTTAATGCCTCATTCAAACTAAAGCTTTTACTATTGAAGGGCTCCTAAGTACATGCTCATTATAGAAAAAAATATGAAAAATATAAAAACTTTACTCAATTTCATCTGCTACACTGATATTTGTAATTAATTTCAGGTATTTGTATTCAAATATATCATTTTTGTGCCACGTGTGCTATTTTATAACTGGCTTTATTGGGTAACCTATTGTAAACATCCTTCTTGTCAAATTATAATTCTACACCATTAGTTTTAGTGGCTTTATTACATGCTAATTTATATATCTATCTTAATTTCTTATTATCTATTTTCTAGTTTGGGATTTTTAGGCATTTC